GATTCTCCTGCCTTGGACTCCCAGAGTGTTAGGATTACAGACAAGAGCCACTGCTCCTGGCCTGCCTTTTAAAAATTTCATTAATTTTTGCTCTTATATATGTTTTGCTTTAATTTCTCACAATTTCGTGAACTTTGCACTTAATTCAATAACTTTCTACTCTTTTAATTTTTCTAATATAGTCATTTTAAGGCTATAAATTTCCCTCTAATTATTGCTTTAGCTGTATGTTACAGTTTTGATACATTTTGTTTTTATAGTCAATTAGTTCTAAATATTTTTCTAACTTTTATTTTGAATCGTTGACTCTTGTCATGTGTTTGTTCATTTCCAAAAATAGAAGGGTTTGACCTTCATTTTTTAAATAACAAGTTCAAGTATGTTATGTCTTTAACCTTATATACGTTTACTTTTTCTTTTTGCTTTTAACCTTTCTGCATTATAATGCTTTTGTGTATTTCTTATAAGCAGCAAGTGGATGAACTTACTGCTTTGTTGTTTTTCAATCTGAGAATTTCTGACTTTGACAAATTTACATTTATAATTATTGATTTTACATTCATTGTTTATAATCTGTTTATTGTAATGGCTAAAATAGCTCATTTAACCTTTAGTGTTGGTGCAGTGCTACATCATGGCAAAAGAAAATAGGAAAAAGTGCTTGTAGCTAAACCAACAATTACACAGAGCACAAAAAGATGAATACTTACTTTTGCTTGAAGAAAAGCAAGTTAATTACAGGAGGATGCAAAAATAGATGGAGAATTACTGCAATTTAAATGGAAGGCTTCTGGGTTCTCAAGGCTTCTGGCTTGATCCTGGCTTCTTTCTTTGTTTTATTGTTGATCTTCCTCTTGTAATTCAGAGTTAGAGTCATAGTCATAGTACTTAAAGATTGACCTGACTCCTTGTTATAGCAGCTGAATAAGATGACATAAATTGAAAGCCTCTCACACAGCACCAGGCCCAGAGCCCGGGCACATGAATGTACACTGGCTGACTCTGAGCAGTGGCTG